GTTCTAGTAGTATTTTTAAATACACCAATTCCCTATCCCAAGAAACGTTCCAGATTAAAAATAATTGAAAATTTTCATGTCCGATCGGTGATTTTAAAAAAAAAAATTAAAAATTATACAAAATCTTAATTTTAATTATTACTATAAATTATAATATTATATACACCAATCAGAAATGTATATGTCTTACGCCGTTACTCACAAAGGGCGCTGTTATAGCTATAGTTATAGTTATAACTACTATTATTAACACTATTATGAAAAAATAAACTATATAAATTACATTTTTTTTACATTTGAAATTTGTTCTATATGTATACAATATTTGTTTTCGTTGTGGCACTGTACTTCTTAATTTTATTTAAGTCTAAAAATATATATAAATTCGGGGGAGCACAATCAAACATTATGTTTTATATAATTTTGAATAACATAATTCACAGTTGTTTGTGCACGGTGCACCCAAGTAGTACTCTGTGAAAAATCAACCCACAAATATGTGATGGAAATGTTGATTCAGATGAAATATAACAATATCTAATTCAAGTCAAAAATGTATAAGCACAATTGGAAAATAGAGACAATTTTAAATTAATATTCCACGGTTTATAGATTGTATGTACACAGTACATTGAACTATTATAATAAAATAAATTACATTCCTAAGCCAAGACAATGTAATATTATTTATTACCAGTTATAAATAATTTTTAGCTTGGGACGGTAATCGGATATCCCTTTAAATTACCTGGGACAGATCTAGTATATCACTTAAAACATTTTTATCTTCGAGACTGAACTATTATGCTGCTGGCTATATTATAGTCTGAGAGCGACAAACGGAGGTGATAATAAACCATGGTGTGACGTCCTCTTATCGTGGGCTCAGAACCAAAAGGTGCTAAATCGATTTTTTCGAAAATCCACTTTTTTATATAAATGGGTTTATTTGTCAATGGTCTATAATCCAAACTCACATCCAACTTTTTAAGTACATTATTTAAGGAGTTATCCAGAACTAAAAGGTGCTAAATCGATCAAATTTACACTTTTGTTATTTGATAGCTATCTAGATAGCACCATTTGGTTCTTAAGAATAGTGTTAAAACCAAAAGGTTCTATCTATAAGAAGAAAAAAAATTAGTGATAACCAAAAAGTACTATCTCATATTCACTGTATTAACCATACAATAATAATATGATGGTAAAATATTATTAATTATTGTACATTTTTATCAACAAAACAAAGATTTCTATAAATAATTTTAATAAATATACGGTACATTTACCTTAGTCCTTAGTCAATATTATTTTTATTTTGGTTTTATTTTAACGGGAGATGCCTCAACATTAATAATTCTGATCCAAGATCTTGTCAATTATTATCGTTATAATAGAAAAAAAATATATTGTCATCGGGGTTACGAAACCATACCAATAAGTTAATGAAGCTAGCAGAAAAACAAGTTGACATTAACAACAAGTAAGTACCTATAAAATAATACCTAATATATAATTTAGAATTAGGTATAGGTAATAGGTATTCATTTTAAGTGAGATATTTACCTAGGTACTTAAAATATTTTATAGATATAAATTATATTTAATATAATATTATCAATACATTTAATTTAAACATAATGTTTAATATTATTGCAAAGGCTTAAAATTGCTTTTACAAATTAATGCAGCTAATTGCTTAGTACCTACTTATGTTCATTTGATGGCATTATTACCATTTAAAATTTTAAAAGTAGGTAACCCCTTCTACAGTTACGGTCATATAGGTTAGGTTAGGTATCTATTCTACTCAAGTGAAAAGCCAATGCCATGTCATTATTTATTATTTTGAGGTTGGTAACATCATAGTGAAAACATACATTTAATTCAAAACCAAAAAGTTCTAACTAAGTGAAAAAAAAAATATTAACAACCAAAAGGTTCTATCTGAAGAACTTTTTGGTTCTTAACGGAAATTTTTTACATTTTTGTTTTTCTTACGTTACATTTTGATTTTAAGAAAACTAAATCGCTAGTGTTAACTCAGAACAACTTTGTGAATTTTTAGATGTGCTAATCATTAAAAATCATTCATTACGAAAAAAGATAATGCAGTTTTAAGTTGAAAATAGTTTAAAATGGCTCTCCTGAACAATTTGATATTTTGAGATAGCACCTTTTGGTTCTGAGCCCACGTTATACGTCTGGATGTTTGGGAATCTAAAGGTCATATTTCAAAAGAAATATGCACTGATGCAAGGTGGTAGTTCGATCCTTCTATACACATGTTCATTATGACAACAATAAAAGCGCTCTACGATATTATTTCAAGCGAAAACTCAGACATAAACACCAAATCGTCTGTGAAGATTAAATGCATATGAGAAGGATTGCAGGCATCTATATACGCTTAAAATATCGAATAGGTAAACTATACGTATATAATATTGTGATGTGAAGATAACCAAAAAATGTAAATAAATCCGAAAATCGACCCAACGCGAGAAATTAAAATATAGAAATAATAAAAAATATTCGATCGCGAGTTCTGTCCGGCCGGCACGCAACGCTTACAAGGCTACAACTTGAGCAGGAGACGAATTACAGTCAACGCGCACCGTATTTAGGTAGGCACCTATGTCGTTATTATTATAACAATATTGTAAGGTTAACGCATAATAGAAAATATTCATTATGAACGGGCCGGGAGCATATAAAATAATACGCGCGCCCGAACTCCAACGCCTATCAACAATACCACTAACACCTAGAACTTAGAAGGGAGAAATTATACGAAAATAGCTGGGTGTGTGGTGGTGTAGTAGTTCAAACAGCAGTGGTCGGGGTCGCCGGGCAATTACTGTAGAACTACGTGATGCTTGTTTTGTAATATGTGTATTTGTGTCTAAATGTGTATCTAGGTAGTGTGTGTGCTTAAAAATAATAGTAACTAATAAAAAAGATGGTAACACGGATTTAGGTAAACATAGGTTGCTGTATAATATATAAATAATTCAAAATAATACACAAAATAAAATATAACTCACAGCAACCGCAAGGTAAAAATTATCTAACAAATAATATGTAGCCCTTCTGGCCCAACAGAGTAATAAAATATGTGACAATTTTGGCCTACTAATAAATATGTATATAATATAATAAATAACAATAAAAAACTCACAATTTGGTGGAGCACAGTCTGGCCAGCTGGTCCTAGCTATAATAGGAAAAAATTCACACACTCACACAGAAAACTAATGAAAGATTAAAAATATATAATAGGATAAGTGGCGATTAGCGCCTTGAGCAGTATAATTAAAAACGGCGATTCGCGCACGTAATAACGTATAATAAATTTGGCGATTCGCGCCGACCGAAACAATATACACAGCGATTTGCGCCGACAAAAAACAATATAATATAAAATAAAAAACAAAACTTATATTAATATAAAAAATTATGGCGATTAGCGCCTCACAAAAAAGTATTATAATAAATTATAGAAATCAACGGCGATTAGCGCACGTTTTAGTGGGTAACGTTCACGTTGATACTACGGAACGGACTGGTTGCCTGGGCGGCCGTGTTAAAATAATAATAATTCGCGCAGACGGTATGGCGGCAGCGACGATCAACTTATAATCTATATTCTATACATTACATAATTCACAAGACACGGTAATTAATACAAAAATAAAACAATACAAAGATAACAATTATAAGTGACTGTGCGTGTGTGTGTGTGTCCAGCTATTTCTAATTTACATGTATTGTTGCGCTGCAACACATTAATATATTTTATATTTTCTTCTCGGGCCTCGGCTATTGTTAAATCATGCATCGTTATAATTATAAAATTATTATTATTATCATCGTGTCGGGGGGGGGGGGGGGGCACTCTGGGCTGCAGCGATGGCTACTAACGAGCACGAGCCAACGAGGTGTATAGCGTGTTACGCGCATACCATCTTTCGGTTGCTCGTTGTCACCGCCACAATCACGTCACGACCAGCGTAGTATTTAATAAATAATATGTTATAAAAACGGACGAATTTCTACTTTCAAGTCGCCGCCGATTCGGTTTTGTGGTTCTCTGCACAACGGCGATGGAAAAATTGAAAAATATTTTTACTCATTCGTTATTGACGCGGACACGAACGGAATTATAGAGTCTATCCCATAAGTATTGTGTCCGCGGACGGTTTTAGAATAGATGAAATTCTATGGGTCTGTGGTTTTTAACTCGGTTTAGGTGTAATACACACACCGCAGTTCGTATTATGATATTCTACGACGTGTGAAATGAACCGGCACAGAGTGTACACGATTTCCGTCAGACACATATGACGCGTTGACCTGGCAGAGTGTTTAAACAATAATCGCCTATTACGATATAATGATATGTCATCGCATATTATAATAATGTGTGTTTTTTGTAGAAATCGTGTTGCAGTAGTTGAGGATATAGAAGAAATAAAATCACGACAGGCGAGTTCGGTGTACTTGTAGTTACATTATTTTAACGGTGTCTATTACTATATAATATTCTAGGCAGATGCTCAAAACACTATTATATAGGTACGAGTTATTATCATGCACATATCGTACAGTTATATATTTATATTAGTGATGTGGATTTTACGTAAAAAATTTTTTTGGTAATTTACCGTGTAAATTTTCCGGTAAATTTACCAAATTTACGGTAAAATTGGTAAATTTTTATTAAAATTCAAATTATAGCGTACCTGTTGAATTTTTTCACAATATAATGTAAAGAAGGCAAGATAAATATAAAATAAAGTACTAGTATTTATTATTTAATCCCTTTATTAATAATAACAATTAATAATTATTAATTTATCATAGTAAAATTAAAAATACTAAAATATAAAATAAAAATAATTTTAATCTGTTTCAAAAAAAAATAAAAAAAATAAAAAACAACTTATAGTATATTATATTATAATGAAAACAGCATGTGTAAGTTAACTACCTATCACCTATGTATTAATAACTTCTTCAAAATCTGATCTTGAAGAAAAACTTTCTGTATCCATTGAGTTATCAACTAAGTCGTCTGTATCCCAATCTTCTTCGCTGCAGCTTGATATTATATTCATTTCATGTTCAGCTTCAGCTTCTACTTTTTCTGACAACTGGTTTATATTAAAAGTACTTGTTGAAGGGGCCATATGAAACTCATTTACAATAGAATGTGTTTCACTAACATCTGACTGAATGCTCTTTTCAGTGTTTTGGGAATTTTTTTTCTGAACCTGTTTTTTATGTAAATTGTTTTGGTTCTGATGAATGTATAATAACTTTCCAGCCCGCTCATTAGTTAACTTATTCCTTTTTTTTGTATGGATGAGTGAATATGTGCTAAATGATCTTTCGGTAGCGGCAGATGATGAAGGTAAAGATAATATTCCTGATGCAATTTTACTTAAACTACTACTTCCACAAATTCCATTCCACCAAGTGGAAGGGCTCACATTTTCTATTTCTAGTGACCATATAAATTGTTTACTCCATAACCCTTCATGTGTTCTATATTGAGCCAATTCACACATTACATTTTGTGTTTCTTCAGGGATCAATAATTTGGAAACAAGAAATATATACTCAACTCCTTCAATATCATTGTTTGATTCCAATTGTCTTCCTTGGTACCTTGGGTCAAGTATAGCACTAGCATAGTGTATTGGATGAAGTGCCATAGTTTTTCTATTGTCAAAAAATAACAAAATAGATTTTTTTTCTTCTTTAGACAAAAAGTTTATTTCAGGTAGTTTGTTTATCATAATTGATTTTATATCAAGCAGTGCATAAAACACATCACTTATATATGGTTTATCAGCTTCTAATCTTGTTATCCATTCAGCAATGGGCTTAACAATATTTAAAATTTGATCAATTTTGTTCCAAAATGAAAAATCGAGAATCAACAATTTTAAATCTCCTAGTTTATCAATAATATATTTGTCTTCAGACCAGGCTAACTTACGGAGGGATGTTTGATTTTGAATTAAACTTTGTAAGCATGAAACTAATGAGGCCCAACGGGTTTTTACTGGCATTTTTAATGAGATGACTTTATTTGTAGATTTTTGAATATTTAATAATGTTGCCTTTAGTATATGAACATTATTAATACCTTTAACAACCCTTTTAGCATCATCTTCAATGTTTATACAACCTTTTATTTTAAGTATATCTTGAAAAAGTAGATTTAGTGTATGACAAATACTCCAAGACTTTTTCATTGATATCAGTAACAATTCCTAAACAACGTTTTTTTCCTAATTCGTCTATTACTTGACTAATTTCTTTGGCAACATATTCTGCAGTATGACGTTCCGTTGTTGTGCTAATGGATTTAAAAACTACTGGTTCAGGTGTGGTTACAATTACATTTAAAATTGGTTCATTCCTAAAACATATTTAACCAATTAATTAAATTACTAAAATATGGTTCCATTGTTAAATCATTATTACCTAATATTACTCCACCCATCAATTTGAACTCCATAAACATAAGCATCATTAATTTTTTTTCGAACATCTAAATTAATTAGATTATACTCATAGTCTAACAATTTATGAGATAATATAAAACGTGTTGGAAGTTGAAAACTTGGTCTTAATGCTTTAAAAAACTGTATCCAGTGGTTATTTTCTACTATAGACAATGGCGTGGCACTGGAAAATATAGCAGTACCTAAAAGTTTCCATAAACGTTCCTGTAACCATAATATAGGTATAAAATTCAATATGATGTTCATGATTTCATTAATAACTTAAAAACTAAAAAATAAATACATGTAATTTACTCATATTTGATATTATAATGTAAGTACTAAGTTGTACTATTTTGATTTTTAATAAATAAGTATTTCCAATAGCTTTAGTTTAATCTTTAATTCATTATGGCATTATATAGGTATATAATTTAATTGAATGCATAATGTAACATTTTGGAATGAATAATAAATTAAATATTAAAATGTCTGTTAATTGCCAAACATTATTCATCTTATAGTTAAGTATCATACATATAAAAAACAGTATGAGATTTAAGCATTTAGCTATATTAATAAAAATATATTACATTTAAAACTTAATAGTAGATAATAATAATATAATATACTTGTTTATTTTTACTAGAAATTGTATATTTAATCACTAATTAGTTAATTGTAATTATATTAGAGTTGGCATGTACTAACGTTACTAACTATCAATGAATTATTATAAAATTATTTTAAAATTATCATTACTTGTTCATTTGTTTTCATGTTATCCATAAACGATATTAACTTTCCGTTTTCCATTGTAGAAATAGCATTATTTTTAACAGTTTCCTGTTTTTCTAAAGCCACAGATTGTTGGAGATGTAATTTGTTTGATACCTGCACATTTTCTGAGTCAATATTCATTCAAATATTATTGTAGGAATACCTACCTATATTAAAATATTATTACATTATATTACATAGGTACCTACCTTATTTTTTGATACGATGTTCTTAATTGATTCTGGCACTTTTGGACATTTAGAAATATGAATTGCCATTCTCGTAACATTTTCTTTGTAAGTGTTGTTACAAAATAGACATTTTTGTCTATTATTTTGACACGCTTGAAAATATTGTTTCTTAATTTGTTGAGGCTTCATGACATATTATAATATTGTAATCATAAAATAAAATAAAATTGAACAAAAGTACGAAAACACAATTATAACATAATATTTTATAATCACAATTATATTGAAAATTATTATTATTTATTATGACCATGCTATTTATAAGTTTATAATAATATTGTATTCAAAATAAATGTGATGAGATAAAGATAAGAGATAACGTATCGTATTAAACAGTACCAGTAACCGCGTACACCATATCACAATAATTCGTATCACGTAACTGTCGTTATCATTTTATAAAAATCCTAATTTGTATTATAATCCTAATACCTTGATAGAAAATACAAAGACATACAAATAAAGTGGTCACTCAACTGTTTGAGTGGTAAAAAAAATGTAAATTGTAAATTGTTTTTTGTAAATTTACGGTAAATTTACTTTACCGGTAAAATTTTACATGGTAAATTTACGAGACTCACATCACTAATTTATATAATGGTTTATACCCGTAGTTATATCATACGAATCGATCTAATATTATTGTTACATTTTTTTAGTTTCTAGATTTTTTTAAATTTTTTCTAATACATGCGTCATACTTATAGATCAATAAAATATAATTTATCAAACGAGATTATACCTACCATTGTTACGGTGGCCTAATTTGTTGCATTGTAATATACAGTGTTGATAACTAAATTTCTTCATCGAGTTTCCTCAATATAATACGATACAAGTATACGATCGAAAAATCTTATCAAAAATTAAATATTTTCTTATGTATTACATGGAAATAAAATTATGAACTATATTACAATATACATATTATATTGCAAACAAATATTAAACAATACGCACGATCCACGGTTATATATATATATATATACATATTAAAGCCACGTGGTTACTTACGTCATAATTTCATATTTTAATGTTAGAGTTATTGCGTGTAAACACTAAACATAAAATTAATTTATACGATGACGACGGTCGACAAAGTAAATTAATTTGAAACAATACCAATAATAAAATATGGTACATTGTCTACAGATATTAGTATATTATTACAATAATGTAATTTATATATCAATACAAAATAAAACTAATATGCATATAATATCGCTATATTACAGCTAAGTTAGGAAGGTAAGTACCCATCAATTGAGTATTTATATATGCAATTTTAGTAAAAATAAAACACATTCAGTACAAGATAAACATACAATATAAATATATATTACCACAGTTTTTCAAACGTCATGCTATATTTATACTCTAAAAAAGCATTATTTACCAACAAATTGAACAACAACTATAAGAAAAGTCGTTTTTTATACGCAGTAAATAATATCATCTTCCACTCACGAGTAAATAAAAAAAGTTTTTTAAAAAAAATAACATATACCACGTCCCTATATGTACCACCACGTATGCCTATCGTTTACGAGAACGAAACGCAAATTATTTGATTTAATATTATAAAAAACTGTAAAACCAGTTTCGACGGAATAATGTGTGTTCTGCGGTAGTGATTGACAAGAGCGACCGATACTAAACAAGGTCAATGTACGTATTAAATCATTAGCTGTAATATTTTATAATATACTTTATTGCCGGGTCGGCTTATAGAAAGAAAAAACTAAAAAAGAGCATCATGTACAGCAGTAAGACATCATATTATTTTGATCGGATGCGGGATCAACTATGATAATAGATCCAGTAAGTCGAGTCGTCCCGAACAATAATTTGTTGACTTGAAATATTAAACAAGGGAAAAAATACATTAAACGAACATCAATAAAAACGTTTGGGGTCCGGACACCAGGACAGTCATCTTAAAGACACAATATAATAATATTATTATATCATCACGGTTCGAAGACAATTTTAAAGGTCAACGTACAAGTGGTGACTGGGGCGAGTGTAATATTTTAATATAATATATTATAATATAGCCTCCGAAGCCGATTGTATGCGCACAATAATGTTGATTTGTTGACAATCAAACTATGCGCGAATAACCGTGTGATGCATACGTATTATACATATCGCAGTCTCGTTATCTGGGAATATTATTTACCAATAAATAATTGTTAATAGTGGAGTTTATCATCACGAAAAAATGCGTTTGAGATAATAATTATATTATATTTGTAGCACCGCGAGTGTAGAATATATAATATTGCGTCGATTTGACATTATATTAGTAGCGTCGCGGAAAGAAAACAAATCATCAAGGTTTTCGTCGGTGGTAATTATGGTTTGTATAAATGTGCCTATAATATTATATCGTATTATAATAGTATAATATTATGTACTCAAAGACGTACGGTTATGTCCATATTCGTCAAGATGACCACCCAATAACCTTGATCAATAATAATGTATAATGTATATGACAATTATTGTATAGGTAAGGTAAATATAATTTTAAACCATCGTCGGAAATTGATAAGTGTTTTAGAAAAATGATTGTTCTTAAACTCTTACGTAAAAATAAAACATATTTTAAATAAATCTATAGGGATAGTATGTTAACAAAGTATTTAGCCTATAAATTATACGATAAATATAATTAAGTACCTAAGCTAGTTACCTACTGTTATTATAACTAGAAAAAAAAATATTCTCGTGCTTTTTCTTCAATTTTTTTAGTTTTCCAATCCGCATTAATATATAATTAACTTTTGAAATTATTAGACGGTTTTATTAATATTATAGCACATAATATCTTATATTGATATTTGATGTATGTATAAATATATATTTATCAATACATAAAATACGCGTAAATAACACGAGAAGTGTTGTACACGTTTGAGACGGTAGTCGGCGTAATTATTTGAAAATTATTATAACGCAACCGGTTTATACATGGAAATGAACACCATCAATCTAAATTGCTTGGAGTACACAATAATTTATATTTTAAACGGTTCTTAGATTTTTGAAATCAGAGAACAGAATATGACGTTCAAAACATTTATCAAAATGTAACTATATTCCCCATTCCCAAGTCTAATTTACGTTGGATTTTGAATTTTAGAACACCAAAATGGTTTAGTACCATGTAACTTTATATCAAAAAAAAAATGTAATATAGATACCCAAGTAAGATATAATTTTGGAGGATTGCTATATAATACCTCATAATGGTGGCGAACACACACGGGGGTTGGTAAAAACTTATTTTTTAATTTTAGAGCTGTAATTGTTTAAGACAATTAAGCTCGATTAAGAGCTTGACTGTTAATAAAACAATATTTATATATATTTAATATAACACCCCTCTCCATTGTTAATTTCTGTGAACACAACTGCAATACATAATCTTATATTAGTGGATATTGAAATATAACAATGAAAGAGTTAATATTTGTATTTGAAAATTAATAAATCCACATTAGAGATGAAAATTAAACATTTAAA